CTAAAACAGAACACTTAAATAAGATCCATAGTCTCATAACTTAATACCCAAAATGTCTGAAACTACTCATCATACCAAAACACCAATCTTCAGCTTTAAATGGAAAACAAACAAACAAACAAAACAATCAGCAGATGACAACACTGAGATAACACGGATGTTGGAATTATCTGGCAAAGATGTAAAAGCAGCCATCATAAAAATGATTCAGTGAGGGGCGCCTGGTGGCTCAGTCAGTTAAGCGTCTGCCTTCGGCTCAGGTCATGATCCCAGGTCCTGGGATCGAGTCCCGCATCAGGCTCCTTGCTCAGCGGGAGGCCTGCTTCTCCCTCTCCCTTTGCCTGCCACTCTGCTCACTTGTGATTCATCTCTCTCTCTCTGTCAAATAAATAAAATCTTAAAAAAAAAGATTCATTGAGCATTTACAAACACATCTGAAATAAATGAAAAAAAAGTTTCGGTAAAAAAATAGAAAGTCAAAGATATAAAAGGTATGAAGAACCAAATGGAAATTCTGACACTCAGAACCGAAATAAGAAACCTGATAGGTGGGCTCAACAGCAGAATGGAAGGGACAGAGGAAATAATCAGTGATTCTTAAAAAACAGAACAACAGAAATTACCCAACATGAACAGAGAAAACAGACTGGGGAAAACAAACAAACAAACAGAGCCTCAGGGACCTGTGGGACTATAATAGAGGATCTAACATTAATGCCATCTAAATCTCAAGAGGAGAGGAGAAAGATGGCAGGGCTGATAAAGTAGTAGAAGAAATAATGGCCGAAAATTTCCCAAACTTGGCAAAAGACATAAACATACAGATTCAAGAAGCTGATCAAACACCAAACAGAATAAACCTAAAGAAATCTATGCCAAGAGGGGCGCCTGGGTGGCTCAGACGGTTAAGCGTCTGCCTTCGGCTCGGGTCATGATCCCGGGGTCCTGGGACGGAGCCCCACATCGGGCTCCCTGCTCAGCGGGGAACCTGCTTCTCCCTCTCCCTCTGCCTCTGCCTGCCACTCCCCCCTGCTTGTACTCTGTCAAATAAAAATTTTAAAAAAAGAAAAAGAAAAAGAAATCTATGCCAAGATACCTCAGAGTCAAACTGAAACACATAGAAGACCAAAGACAAACTACTGAAAGCAGCCAGGGAGAAAAAGCACATTACCTGCAAAGGAAAACAATTACAGTGAATTAAAAAACCATAAAGGCCACAAGGAAGTGACATATTTTTCATGTGCTTAAAAAGAACTGTCAGTGAAGAATTCTATATCCATTGAAAATGTCCTTCAAGAATAAAGAAATCAAGACATTCTCAGATAACGGAAAACTAAAAGAATGTGTCACTCACAGACCTACCCTAAAAGAACGGTAAAAGGAGATTCTCTAAACATAAAGACAGTGATAAAAGAAGGAATCCTAAAACAATAGGAAGGGAAAAAAGGATATGGGAAGAGCAAAAATATGGGTAAATACATCTCTGTGCTTTGCCTGAAACACAAAGGCTAAACAATAAGTAGGATGTAAAAAATAAAGAAACAAAAAAACAAAAAACAAAAACAACGAACTTAGTCTTCCCTTCTTTTCTAATTTTTCTAAAATTGTGTTAGATGGCTAAAGCAAAAATTGTAACACTGGTGTGGTTCTCAATGTACATAGGGAAAATATTTAAGACAATTATATTACAAATGGTGGAGGGTAAAGGGATTTAAAAGAAGGTAAGGTTTCCACACTTTATTCTAACCAGTAAAATGGCAATACCAGTAGACCACAATAAGTTATACATGTACAGTGTCATACCTAAACCACCACCAAAAAACCATACCTAGAAAAACTATACAAAGAGATATACTATAGATAGAAAAACAGTACAGATAAATCAAAATGGAATTCTAAAAATATGTTCAAGAAACCCAGAGGAGGGGCTCCTGGGTGGCTCATCTGTTAAGCGTCTGCCTTCAGCTCAGGTCATGATCCCAGGGTCCTGGGATCGAGCCCCGCATCGGGCTCTCTGCTCAGCGGGAAGCCTGCTTCTCCCTCTCCCACTCCCCCTGCTTATGTTCCCTCTCTCGCTGTGTCTCTCTCTGTCAAATAAATAATAAAAGAAAGAAAGAAAGAAAGAAAGAAAGAAAGGAAGGAAGGAAGGAAGGAAGGAAGGAAGGAAGGAAGGAAGGAAGGAGAAAGAAAGAAAGAAAGAAAGAAAGAAAGAAAGAAAGAAAGAAAGAAAGAAAGAAAGAAAGAAAGAAAGAAAAGAAAAGAAAAGAAAGAAAAAAAGAAAGAAAGAGGGAAAGACAGACCCAGAGGAAAAAGAAAACAGGAAAAAAATAAAATAGAGAACAGAAAACAAACCAAAAAATGGCAGATTTAAGCTTAACACAGCAGTAATTATATTAAAAGCAAATTCTACAAATTCACTAAATAAAAGACAGATTGGCAGAGTGGATTTTAAAAAGTGACACCCAACTATGTTCTATTTGTAAGAAATTACACACAACTGGATGGATGTGATTGAAAAAAGCCTATCTCAAAAGGTCATATATGGTAAGACTCCATTTACGTAACATTCTTGAAATGACAAAATTATAGATCTGGAAACAGATCAGAGGTTGCCAAAGGTTACAGATGGTAGTGGGGGAAGGAGTGGGTGTGACTAAAAGAGTACGGTAGCATAAGGGAGATCTTTATGGTGATAGAACAGTTCTGTATCTCGATTGCAGTGGTACCACAAATCTACACATACGATAAAACACATACAATATGCTGGACTGCACAATGTCAATTTCCCGTTTTTATTTTATATTATAGTTTTATAAGATGTAACCATTGAGGGATACTGAGTGAAAGGTACACAGGACCTCTCCGTACTTTGCAATTTCTTATAAATAAATCTATGATTATCTCAAAAGAAAGAAGTTAAAAAAAAAAATCAAACTGCCAGAGTTCAAACCCAGACTCTACTACCTCCTGTATGAATTTGGGCTTATTTAACCAATCTGCGCATTGTTTTGTCATACAACAGCATCTATACCAAGTTATGACAAGAAGCAAATTAAGGGGCGCCTGGGTGGTTCAGTCGTTAAGCGTCTGCCTTTGGCTCAGGTCATGATCCCAGGGTCCTGGGATGGAGCCCCGCATCGGGCTCTCTGCTCGGCAGGAAGCCTCCTTCTCCCTCTCCCACTCCCCCTGCTTGTGTTCCCTCTCTCGCTGTGTCTCTCTCTCTCTCTGTCAAATAAATAAATAAAATCTTTAAAAAAAAAAAAGGTAAATTAAGTAATACCTAAAAACAGATAACTATTGATATGTGCAGCAATGTGGATGAATCTCAAAAGCATTATGCTAAGTGAAAGAAGCCATTCACAAAAGCCTACGTATTACATGAATCTGTTCATACGACATTTTGAAGAAGGCAAAACTATAGGGACCAAAATCAGGTCATGGTTTCCTGGTGCTGAGTATAGGGAGAGAGAACTAAACACATCTCTGAGCAATGCCTTTTGGTAGAGTTTTGACTTCTGAAGTCATGCTAATATTCTAAATATTAAAAAAATAAAAGTAAACAACAAGGATGGGGGAAAAAAAACATTAAACTGACTGCAAACAAACCAAAACAAACCAACTATTTCAAATGTTATAACATAACCAAAGTGAGCAAGGGAGGGAATGGTGGAAGGGACTAATCCAAACACTTTCACTATATGCTCTCAGTCTGAGGGAAAACTACTACAAACAAATCTTGAGCTGTCTGCAGTAAGTAAATCCAAATTGAGAAACATTAAAAAAAAAAATAACTGGCCTGTCTTCTTCAAAAATCTCAATAACATGAAAGGTAAAGAAAAGCTAAAAATTATTACTGGTTAAGGAGATTAAAGAGACATATAAACTAAATGCAATACATGATCTTGGACTGGATCCTTTCTTGCAGAGAAAAAAATATCTTAAAGGATATTATTGGGACAGTTGACAAAAGTAAAATAAAATAACTGTAGATTAAAGTACTGGAATGCAAAAACTATACATTATACTTTTATTATAATAATGTTAAGCTTCCTAAATTTGATAACTGTACTAGAGTTATTTAAAAGAATATCCTTATTCTTAGGAAACACACTCTATTAATAAGGATCATGATATATGCAACCTTCTTTAAAAGAGTTAAAAAAGTAATATTAGATATATAACAAATATAAATAAGTAGAGAGAGAGGGAGAGAGACAGGGAAAATGCCTCAAAGGAGCTGGGGCGTTCATAGTAAGGATAAGAAATTATAGTCTGGAGCAGCACTAGCAGAGGAACACTCCCCACTCTAAGGTAAGTGAGTACGGGAGAAAACAGCTTCTAACTGAGAAGGCAGTAGAGGAAACAGTAACTCGGGATATTCAGATTATCAGTTAAGACAAAGAAAAAACATTCAGAAGAAGTCAGGGATATCCAGTAGTTTGCTGATAACACAGGAAAAATCTGGGTGGAAGAGAAAAGGCAGAGGATTGGGCTTGGAAATCTGCATTTCCAGAGCAGTTAGAAGATTAGAGTCTGAGCCACAAAAAATGACTTGAGGGCAAAGGGGAATTTTAAAGTAGGTAAGAATCGATACTGGTACATCCCAAGGCAGCCATTTAGTTTTAGTCCCAGGGTTCCTAATGCTCAGCTCTGTGGTATCAGCGTCTCTAGAGGCCCTCCACCAGGAAGCCTTTCCAACTCCATCCTGCCAGGGAGTTAGATATGCTTAGTCGGGGTCCTGTAACAGCCTACTGCCTATCTCTGTCATTTAACCCACATTCAATACATAAGGTTGAATGAATTAATGACCGATCATAACCTGAGTAGAGGAGATATGAGAAGACAAACTGGAAATCAACTTAATAAAGGAGTGACACAGCAGAGTTTCATTTCTCAAAAAAAGTTTCTGAAGTATATAAAATAAGGTGTTGTCTTAAGATTCAAAGAATACATGACAGAGGATTATTTCCAGCTGATTTTGGTAAAAGAAATATGCTTACTGTACAACAAGCTGCTGGCACACAGTTCCATTCTCTGTTATCAGTTCATTCAGTTTTAATTCAAGGTGAACTTTACCCTATAATGAGAAAAAAAATGAATGGTCTATTTTACTGACAAAATATTAAAGGTAACCAGTAATATTTAGCTGTTCACTAACTAAATTTTAGCGATCCCTAGCACATGGCTTTGCCCACATTAAGTACTTGTTAAATGATGAATAACCAACAATGTAGATCTAGAACTCAGATGCTTATATCAGACATGGTACTCCAATCTAAGAATTTAATGCCCAGTTCAAAAAGTATTTATGAATCTCAGTTACCATGGATAAAAAAAAAAGATGGCACTTATGTTTTAGGAAATTTTGAAATGAAAGCAGACTATAAAATGTAGAATGTTTTTTCCAGAAAAGATAAACCATCAATAAGAACAGAGGCACTATCATTAAAGGTCAAGAGAAATCACACAATTCTAAAACAATAAAACTAAGTTAAAACTAGTAAGATTCAATTTGTCAACACTTCTCTGAAAATTAAAGATTTATGGAATATCTACTATATTTTAGTAAGCACTGTAGGACTGGGTAGGAATCAATAGATGTATAAGACACAATCACTGCTCATAAGAAGCTCATAGTCTAGTTGGAGAGACAATAAATAAAGATAACAATATATGACCCATACCATTGATGAAAAAATGGGATACTGAAAATACTTTCTTCAATAACTATTAATAAATGGATTTTTTTAAAATTCAGTAGTATAAATTTAAAGCAAACTACAAACTTCTCATGAAACAAAAGTTTAGGAACAATATAATCTAGAGCTTGATATTTCCACCCTGCCACTGGCAATGAGCAATTCTAAACTGGTTAGGAGCAATTCTAAAGTGGTTAAGATCAGTCCTGGATTACCTCCACCCAGCTGACAAGACAAATTCCCACAGTGGAGATTTCAGGAGTGTGATGTCTAGAGGCTGATGACATAAGTAATTTCATCAGAGGTAGGAAAGTTCATTATCAAGTCACTGTTCCTCTTTGGAACAACCCCTCTCAGACATTCTTTCACAGGAGTCTAACCTGAATCAGCTTCACTATTTTATGGGGGTTTGCTCTATAAGAGTGAATCTGAGGTCCACTAACTACAAAGCTCAGGGTTAGATGGATACTGAGTGAGGAGCAATAAACATTGATGGATCTCAGCACAAAAGTCTGCATGAGAAAGCTAAGCTCTAAAGAAACAAAGGGGGCGCCTGGGTGGCTCAGTTGGTTAAGCGACTGCCTTCGGCTCAGGTCATGATCCCAGAGTCCCTGGATCGAGTCCCACATCGGGCTCCCTGCTCGGCGGGGAGTCTGCTTCTCCCTCTGACCCTCCCCCCTCTCATGTGCTCTCTCTCTCTCATTCTCTCTGTCTCAAATAAATAAATAAAATCTTTAAAGAAACAAAGGCAACAGTAGTAGCAAAATCGGCAGTAAGGTGGAATTGGAACTAAATTAAGCAAATTTTCCACTAAAAATCCAGGCACAAATATTTATAAAATCATGAAATTTATGAAATAGGTCTCTCATTAATCCTGCTTTAATATTCACTACCCCTACCATTTGAGAGTGACCCGGAAGAGGTCCAATGTATGTAGTAATTTTTTTTTTAAAGATTTTATTTATTTATTTGAGAGAGAGAGAATGAGAGACAGAGAGCATGAGAGGGAGGAGGGTCAGAGGGAGAAGCAGACTCCCTGCCGATCAGAGAGCCCGATGCGGGACTCGATCCTGGGACTCCAGGATCATGACCTGAGCCGAAGGCAGTCGCTTAACCAACTGAGCCACCCAGGCGCCCGATATGTAGTAATTTTTAATATTACTCAGTTAGATTTTTGAATCATCTTTGCTGTTAAGCCAGCATATGTGTGTCACTTGCCTAGTGAGTGGGCCTAGCCAACTGCATCAACATTTGCATCTCAAAGCAGTTTTACTATTTTAACATGTATGCATTTTATGGTAGAAGTTGTATGCTAACAGGGCATTCCCAACTGTCTCTCAGGAAATGTCTAGGATCTACTCTATTTCTAAAACAACAGAAACTGTTAAATAGAGAAGAAAAGTATAATAATTTCATTCACAACTAAAAATCATAGCACTGTATCAAGCAAAGCCTAGAAATAAAAAAAATATCTATTTAATGGGATTCTACCAGGAATCATTATCCCTGAGTCAGAGCCTACTTACTATGTTCATTACTCCTACTGGCTGTTAAAAAGACCATTCCTTTGGTATTAGTCAACAATAACATAATTGCGTATTTAACTTGGTCAAGAAAAGAGTGGAGACAGAACAGACAGACACAAGACATTTATTATTAGGGTGGAACACTAAAATTAAAAAGCATTATGAATTGGGCGCCTGGGTAGCTCAGTTGGTTAAGTGACTGCCTTCGGCTCAGGTCATGATCCTGGAGTCCCGGGATCGAGTCCCACATCGGGCTCCCTGCTCAGCAGGGAGTCTGCTTCTCCCTCTGACCCTCCTCCCTCTCATGCTCTCTGTCTCTCATTGTCTCTCTCGCAAAAAAAAAAAAAAAAAAAAAAAAAAAAAAAAACTTAAAAAAAAAGCATTATGAATTAAACCAAGGAAATTATAATTTCTAAACTGTAAAACACTACCTCATTGTATACTTTAACATGGGAATATATACATGATACTTAGTAAAAGAAACAAGATACAAATCAGGGTGTATAATATAATGTTAATTTGTAAAAATAGAATGTACTATATATATTACTATATAAATTTACTACAAGGTCATCTACTAAAATATTGATGGAAGTTACCTTTGGTTGGTAGGATTTCAGATTTTTTTGCTCATCTAGATTTTAAAATTTCTACTACCAATGTGTTCTGTTTTTTAGCAAAAAAAAAAGTTTTAAAAATTATTTAAAGCTACTTCTTAGTGTTAGAAACCCAAATCTATGAACATTTTAGAAGAAATATTTAGTATTCCTTAATACATTGACAGACAAGTTTAGTTTCATTTACATCTGTTATCATTTTATAGATTTGGATTGTAGCAATACAAGTTCGGTGTTTTTTGTTTTTCTGGGGGTTTTTTGTTTCTATTTTTTGGAGAGGACAGTTTTGAGTTCAGCAAAACATTTCCTAGTCTCGGGGCACCTGGGTGGCTCAGTCGTTAAGTGTCTGTCTTCGGCTCAGGTCATGATCCCAGGGTCCTGGGATCGAGTCCCGCATCGGGCTCCCTGCTCAGCGGGAAGCCTGCTTCTCCCTCTCCCACTCCCCCTGCTTGTGTTCCTGCTGTCGCTCTCTCTCTGTCAAATAAATAAATAAAATCTTAAAAAAAAAAAAAAAAAAAACATTTCCTAGTCTCCTCTGAAGCCAGATGATACAGGCTAAAGACAGTCATAGGCTACAATTCTGGCCAATGAGATCAAAGTAGATGTTGCTGGTGGGGCATCTGGAGAAGCTTGTTGAATGGGACTCCCTAACTTCAGCAGGGGCTTGAGAAGCTGAAGAGCTTAAACAAAGCAGTCTACAGTCTCATGAGGCTGGGCATATAAAAACTGGAGTCCAGGGCCCCCCAAGGTAGTGTGCCGCTGGCAAACAGGCAGGCTTTCTGTTGGAATCTCTGCAGAAAGACTATGCCTAAGGAGTAAGGGTGAACAACACTGACCAGCCTTTACAAAGACCGGAAACCTCGCCTAAAATCAGCTGACTCCCTAACTAGATTGAGGTGATCACCTGTAGACAGTAAGTAAAGTAAATCTTCTCTGAAGGAAAAAAAAAACCATATCACCCACAGCTTCAAATTATCTCTAAAATATTTCATATTTTTCAATGTCTAGCATTCCATTAAAAATGATGAAGCATGCCAGAAGACAAGACCATACACCAAAAAACAAAAACCAATAAAAAGCAGGAGATGCAGATGTTGGAGTAAACTGACAGAGGTTAAAATAACTGCTTACATTTTTTAAGGCAGACAACAAAATGAAAAAACCCAGCAAAAAATTTGATAAAGTATATCAAATGAAAAGTTCAGGATTAGGCAATAAAATAACCAAAATGAAGATGTATTTAACAGCGAATGAGCCATAGCCAAAACAAGAATTGGTGTAATGGGAGATAAATTAGTCAGGGGCAAATATCCACAATGAAGCACAGAGAGGGAGAGAGCATAAGAGACATATGAAACATAGGAAAATGGTCTATTATTCATGTAATCGGAGTCCCAGAAGAGACAGAAAAAATAGGGAAGGAGAAAAAAAAAGAAATAATTGCCTGGAATTTTCCAAAACCAAAGACATCAAGGCAGAGATTTAGGAGCCCCCAGGAACACCCACAGGATAAACATAAAGAAAACCATATGTAAGCAGAGCATAGTAAAACTGCTAAAAGCAGAAGATCAAAAGAAAATCCTAAAAGCAACTAGAGAAAAGAGACATTAGCCACAACGAAGCAACTACAAGACTCTGACAAGAAACTATGTTTGACGATAAACATGCAATGTGATTTGGTCCACAACTGCTTTCTTATTATCCAACCTCCTAAGGGAGGTTCAATGACAAAACTGTAATTTTCTTGTATGTCAGGAAATACTGGAAGATCGAATACCTGGCACTGTATTCTGTATGTTTTATTTAAAGTTAACCAAATTTTGGGGAGCCGATATTCTATATGCATTTTATAGCAATGATTACGTTAGGTTGATATATGCAATTATATCACATTAATTTGTACTAGACAGCATATTTAGGAACTTATATTACTCTGGGACTGTCTGAAGGTTTAATAATATGCTAGCTTTATTTCAAATACTTTTATAAAAGTTCCCATAGAAAAATTTGTGATTATTTTAATGGTACCATATAGAAGATACCATATGAATTTCTGCATACAGTTTGGGAAACTCAGGTGTATTATGGGTATCTGGGCAAAACCCAATGCACACACTCCAAAATTTCTTCAGTCTTTTTTTTTTTTTCAGTTTTTAGTTTTTATCACAAAACACTGAATTGTAACAACCATTCCACATAAAAGAACTCAGTATATTTCGACTGGTGGAAAGTTTT